GGACCGAGACAAGAATGGTCAGGACCCTTCTGGTAGATGCAATCTGCGAAGTTTATTGACGCTGCTTCTGAGCCCAAAGTCAGCTGCGGAAGACCCCAAGCTCCTAAAACCCCGGGTATAAATACCCTGCTCAGTGACGTGTCCTACCAGGATTGGTGCAATGTGATAATGCGTAGCGAGCGGCTGGCAGCGCATGCGCAACAAGCTTGTTTACAGCTCAGCTCTGACAATGTGGGCGCGGTCCGGCGCCATCTTGTAATGGCGTCCACACTCCACAGGGCTTTCTTGGCTGTAACTTTACCAGAAGCAGGTGGCCAGACATTTCTTCTTGTGGTCCCAGTGGGTGGTTTCAAACCACCAACCCTTTGGACAGTAGTCCAGCACAAACCAGGAGTTAGCTCAAGCCAAAGACTTGAAGGTGCACTGGCGTACCAAGCAACTGTGGAAAGCATCTGAGAGCAAGGTTGCAAACGGTTAATACTCTTGGTTGAAAAAAAAAACACCTCTTTGTTGTTAGGAAGGGTTAAAGGTTCAAGTCTACCCAGATGCACTGAGGAAGAAAGACCTGGTTGTCCATGTAAAAAAAAAAAACCAGCCATTGAAACGTGACTGTGCAGCACATGGAGTCAGATTCCATTCAAGGACGCTGGTTTAGGGTGGTTTTTATTTGTTGAGTTGTGTAACTTCCGGTTTCTTCTCAGTCGATTGGAGTTATGGGGAAAGAGTCGATTTTCCACAGGAATTATTGACCATGACACTAAGGGAACTTGTAACAGGTTCATGCTGCAGCATCCCAATTTGAGTTTTGGCTTGGCAAAAGTCCAGCCACAGAATGAGAGTTTTTAGTTTTTTTTTTCCCATCAAGACTCTCCTTTTCCTACTTCTTGTTGCCTGCATTGCATACTAACATGTAGCTATGAAGCATTTGAAATGTAGTTAATATGACTGAGCCATTGCATTTTGTTTTATTTAATATTGATATATTTCAAATCAAATAGCTGCATGTGACTGACTAGTGGCTACCATATTGGTCAGTGCAGTCGCAGGACATAATTATGGCTGGAAATGAATACTACATTTAAAAACTAAATCTGTTATTTTATCATTTTTTAAAAGTATACATGTACGTGTATATATATGGATTCTTTCCATTCTTCTATATTGACAACATATAACTGGTTTTGCAAACTTCTACCTCCTTATTCCTGGTGGCATACTGGGTTATGTGTTGGGCTGCTAACCACAAGGTCAGCAGTTCAAAACCACCAGCTGCTCTGCAAGAGGAAGATGAGGCTTTCTACACTCAGAAGAAGTTCCAGTTCCAGGAATCCCTGGGGGATGGTGGTTGGAGTCGACTTGATGGCAGTGAGATTTTTTGTTTTTTTCAGTTTGACTTGCTTTTGTTGCCTTTCACCAACCAATGTGCACGTATCCCCATCTGTGTTCACTTAGTTGATTTACTTGAAATAAGGTTATTTTAATTTTTCCTCAGCAGAGTCATCAGAATCTGCCCAAAGTGGAGGAATAATCACTGCGTTTTTAATAGCAGCTTTCTTCATTAGCGGCATAATAATACTGAAACAGATGGGCTATATATGCTTAAAAAAGTATTTCCCCAAAACGTTGGTAAGTCGTTTGTTTTTCTTTGTGGTTAGTTTGTTTTGTTTGACTGTTGGTTGGTTAGTTTTGTTAACTTTATCTTAAATTTTAACTTAAGTATCTTCACAGAAAAAAAATCCCATTTTGTAAAGTATGAAGGGGTTACACAGCATTCTGGATTATTTTCCATATCCCCAAATTCTTTTCCATCTCTTTAAATATACATTACATGAGGGTAGGTCAAAAATAGCTATTGGGTTTCCAGTTCACACATGCACAGGTTTATTCCAAACAAAGCATGTGTCAGTATGACTCTGTGATCCGTGCACGTCCGCAGACACGTTCTCTCCGTGATACACTTGTCTGGGTCTCGTTAGGAGACCGCCAAAGCCAGGTCCCATCAAAACAGGGGCTTTGGAAGTCATCTACCAGACTGACTAGATTCAGGGCCAAGAGGGCAGTTCTCAAGGTTGTTTTAGGATCCAGCAAGGTCAAAGATCACAAGATGATCACAGGGTTTATTAGGAAGCCGTTTTTAGAAAATGGAAAAATGCCATGGGTTGAGGAAAAGGGCAGGCAAATTACATGAAGGAATTTTCCCATCACAATAGGGTACCTGCTGATTCTTCAGGAGTAGCAAGCAGTGCCCTATGAGAATTTCATGGGGAGTTTATAAGCTCCCCCCTACAGCCCTGATCTTACACCTTCAGACTTCTTTTTGGTCCCTAAACTCAAAGAACATTGAAATGGCACACAATTGGAGTCCCTGGAGGACACCCATGATGATGTGGGCTAAGTGGAAGCGTGCGGAATGCTTCAGGAGAGATGGGAGCTTCAGGAGCACATGGCCTAGACGGAGGAATCCAGAAACAGTAACTTCATGTGTTGGTATTTTTTGTTTAACCAAGGTCTCTATGATTTTATAGAAATACCTTTTGACTTATCCTCATGTCTGTGCATACATTTTGTTTTCTTTTGACACTTTTTCTACATATTATTTTTAATGATCGTATAGTATCCCATGAATGCAGCAGTTCTCAACCTGTCAGTCACGACCCCCTTGGGGGTCATCACCACATGAGGAACTGTATGAAGGGTTGAAAAATTAGGAAGGTTGAGAGCCACTGCATTAATGTATCATTTTTTCCTTTAGCTATTTCTCAGGTTTAGTAAGCCTTTTGAGATAGCACTCTTTGGGAACTTTAATGATGTCTTCCTCTGTTATTTGTCCTTTCATTTTTGTCACGATTTAAGTACTCATCCATTTCATTCGATTGCCAAGTTGATCAATCTGTAATGTAAAATCCTTTTCTTCTCATATGCCACTCTTCCTCCTTTGCAATATACAGCTTTATCAGTTGGTGTTTTCCTGAATCTCATTGATTCACCCGAAGTTTCTTCTGGTGCCTTACTCTTTGTTATCCCTGTTTGCTTGACAACTCTTGTGATTTCATAGTTTGCTCGTGCTTCCACGTTGGCGTTCTGCCTTCCTTCACTTTCCAATCATTACCTTCCTCTTCTTGATATGTTATGCACAAGCTTCATGTAGAGTTTATTTTTCTTTTTAATTAATAACATAGGTTTTTAGATCAACTCCTAATTCTAGCATGGCTTCTTGCTCTATGTCTCTTTTGTTCAATTATGTCCAAAGCTGGTTTGCCAAGTACTTTTGTTTCTGGCTTGGTTTGTTTTGACAGTTTTATTGGCACTCGATCCACATATCATACAATTCAGTAGTTCAACCATATCAAGACATGTTATATAATATTTACCACAATCAATTGTAGAACATTTTCTTTTTCCCCATACTCATGGTTATTCACGTAGGGTTTTTTTTTTTCAATTTTGGCAAAAATATACACAACACAATATCCACCAATTCTACAACTTCTACGTGTATAATTCAGCGCCATCGACAATACTCTTCATGTTGTAAAACCATTATTGGTATCCCTCTCCAAATGGTTCCACCACCACTAACATGAATTCAATGCCCCTAGGCAAAAACTCTTCCTCCTTCAACCTGGTAACCATACGTCAAGTTTGATTTGGTTTTTAGTAGTAGTTTTCTTGATAGAACATTCACATATCGTTAAACCACTTGTAAAAAGAGGTTTACATACATCATCACAATCAGCTCTCATGCTCCCTCTCTTCGTGAACTTCTTAAGACCCCCAAACAACACAAGTCCTCTTTCCCCGGCTTGTCTCTCTCCCTCTCTAAGCCGGCAGAGTGTCCTTGCTGCTGAGGAAAGGAGATGAATATGGGTATCTCTGCTCGCCGGTGGCCACTCTTCCCCAGGCTGGGTCTGTGTGGGGCAGGTTAATCAAAGAGGGGCTGGTGCAGGTACAGGCAGGGGGAGAGGAGGACAATGATGGGGGCCACTCCAGGTCACCCTCCTTAATCATGGCCCTGTTGGGATCAGTTTGGGGGAATGACTCCCCAACTAGTTGAGACAGCCTGCCTTGTTTTCTCTTGACTCACTCCACCCCTGTATCCTGGAGGCATTGTCTGCCATAGGTCCTTCACACCTGGCACCTTTGCCTTTTAGGGATTCCTGTGTCTTCAAGGGCCTCTAGGCCAAGGGACACACATTCTCCCGCTCTGTGACCCTGATGGGGTGGGCTTTCTAGACTGCAGAGCTTAGACTTTTTCCACTCATAACCCCTTTTTGCCCGACAGATTTGCAGCCCAGATAAGCACTGCCACAAACACCTCAGATTAGATTTTGAATTACTTTTTGGTTGTTGCGCCTTCAGTACTCTTACACGGTTGCTAAAGTTTTCACTACGCCCACACTCAGTTAAAGAAACTTTGACAGTTCGCCCACAGCTCTTTGATAGCCCTTATGGATGTTCTGGAGGGTATCAGACTGCTAAACGCAAGGTCAGCGGTTCAAACCTACCAGCTACTCTACAGGAGAAAGATGAGGCCAGCTGCTCCTTTAAAGATTTACCGAGCCTCAGAAGGTTGGGAGTTCGAACCCACCCAGAAGCACTTGGGAAGAAAGGCCTGACAGTGTGCTTTGAAAGGTCACACCCACGGCCTTGAAAACCCTATGGAGCACAATTCTGCCGTGCAACACGTGGGGTTGCCACGAGTCAGAATCCAGTCTGCGACCACTGTTTTACCTACGGCTGTTGTTGGGGGCCTTTGAGTTGCTCTGCCTCATAGCAACCCCAGGCATTCTAGACAGCAGCGTTACAAGAGGACCTCCCTACAATTGTAGGTAGGGTTGACCTCACTGCAGACACTGAGTCAGTCCAATTCTTTGGGGGCCTTCCTCTCTCACAGACCCTTGGCTTTACTAAGCATGATGTCCTTGTCCAGCAGTCCGTCCCTTCTGATCCTAAGCCCAACGTCAGCCACGCAAAGTCTAATCACTCTCACTTGTAAGGCACATTCTTAGCTGTCGCGCCTCCAAGACAGGTGTGTTCGTTCTTCCGGCGATCCAGTCTATCCACTATTCTTCACCGGCACCGTCCTCAGATGAGTCCCTTCTTTGCGCCCCGTCATCGTCCTTTGGTCCTCCTCTCCGGTTTGAGAGAGGTCACGTGCCATTTTAGTATACAGAGAAGAAAGCCTCAACACTCAGAGCTGACCCAGACTGTTGTATGTTTGTTTTAGAGCTTTTATAACTGGTCCGCCTGGATATTCCCCGACCCACCGGCACTGGAAGTCGTGGATCCGGTGGAGGTCATTAATGTCTGCCAAAAGAAGAAGGTGTGGAACTACACTTATGATGAGAGTGACAATGAGGAGGAAGCTGCTCTTAGAACAAGCGCCGGTGGTTACACCATGCACGGACTCATTGGCAAGCCCCTGACTCGGGCCTCGGCCACCTCTGAGGAGTTGTCCTTGGTAGGCCCAGGTGTGGATGAACCAGACCTGTCCGAGGAGGAGGCTGGGCTCCTCCCAGTGCGAGAGCCCAGCCCCCGGCAGTCACAAAGTGCAAATGAACCCTACCAGGGAAGGGAGAGCCTGCTCCGGGACCCCGTTTCTGAGGGGGACAGCAGTCCCGAAGAGGAGCCTGGGGGGAGAGTACACTTTAATGTGAATTTAAACTCTGTGCTTGTGAGGATCCTGGACCATGACGCAGACATCGCTCCGATGCTTCCATATCTTCCAGAAGAGACAGCCAACCCAGAGGACCCAAGCGAGCTGGAATCAAGCTTCCTGATCCCCAGGGAGGAGGAGACGCCGCCGTCCTCAGAGTGTCAGTGGTCGGAGGAGGATCTTTCCGAGAAAAGCGACACGGAGGAGTCGGATCCCGGCTTCGACGGTGGCTATATAATGAGATTAGCCCAAAGATATGAACGTGGAACTGACTAGAAGCTGTTTACGGGGTGTCATACCACCACCACCACCCCTCCCAGTGCACCCTTTCTCACCTAAATGTGGAGTCAAAGACTAGAATCTGCCTGATTCCCTCCTGCAATCTCAGGTGTGGGAGTCTCAGTGGAGGGCCGAGGCATAGGAGCCCGCTTTGAAAAGGAACGCCCGTGCCAGTCCCTCGGCTCTCCTCTACTTACAGTGTGTCCACACAATGGCCGCCAAAATAAGGAGCAAGGGTGCCCGTGCTTGGCAGCCGTGGGCCAGGGTGGGACTAGGGAGAGACCAGGGAAAAGACCCGGCCGGTGCCCTGGCTTGGTTCGTAAGTGGAGGCCTGAGCTGCTGCTTGCAGAGGGCTTGAGCGGGCAGCAGCGCAGAGGAGAGGAGGGCAGCTCCAGTGCCCCCTGCCACCGGCAGCCCCGGGGCACATTCTGCTTCCTGCGCTCTTCCAGCCCTCCGTGAATCCCACGGGAAATGGACACGCGCAGCCAGGACTAGGTGAGGCGCCAGCGCGGAGGACGCGCCCTGATGGGCAGAGAGATGGAACCGCAGTGCCTTCTTTGAAAACGTGTGGAACGTGCGCGCAAGTGCGTGTACACACACACACACACACACACACACACACACACACACACTCGGCCCTAGATTCTCCAACAATTCAAGAAGGGCTCCTCCGTGGGCTAATCCCAGGTGCCCTGCTTGTCATGATACTTTCTGTGAAGATGACGGGCAAAGGCAACACTGGAAGCTTAGGATGATGCCCTGCTCCGCTCCCGCTTCCGCGCACGCACCGAGCCTCGGTTGCTGCGTTTGTGAAATTGAGGGGGCTGGACTCGGTCATCCGCAGGAGTCCAGGAGTGGCAGCGAAAACCACAGGCGGGGGTGGGCAGAGCTGAGAGGCCCCTCTCCCAGAGAGTGGCTTGCTCAGACCTGCCCCGGGCCCCATCCCAAGAGACCCGAGCCACCCATGCCCGAGGACACGGACTTTGAGTGGGTTGTGTTTTCATTGCTGTAAAGTAACTGGAAGGAGCAGGAGGTGAGAGCGCCCTTAGTTTACATTTAATGAAATGCCACGGAAAGCGATCTCAACACCTGCAAGGTCCGTGTCTCCTATATTTTGACAGTCCTGCAGATTGAAGTTTGGGGATCACTTCTTTTTGCTGCCTTTATGTGTATACCGGGGTGTGTGTGTGTGTGTGTGTGTGTGTATATATATATATATATATATATATATATTTTTTTTTTTTTTAACTTTGTATTATAGTTGGGGTTGTTAAAGAGTAATGCAAGCATACTTTTATAACAGACTTGTAGCACAACTCTTTTTAATAATTTAAAACCATTGAATTGTATGATGCGTGAATTATGTCAATAAAACTGTTCGAAAAACCAAAAATGCCCAGTTTCTCAGATCTATGGTTCTTCTGTTCATCCCTTTAGAGGCGGGCCGGAGGGGGGGCGGGGCTGGGGGGCGGGGCCCAGCCTGACCGGGGAGGCGCCGGGCCGGGCCGCCCCGCCCCACTCGGCCACTTCCGGGAACGGGCGGGACGGAGCCGCTCCGGAAGCCCCCAGCTGGGCAGCCGGCTGGACCCCGGGGGCAGCGGCGCGCGGGCGCAGCCATGGCGCGGACTTGGCTGAGTTGGCTGGGCGGCTGCCTGCTGGTGTCAGGTGAGGGGTCTGCCGAGGGGCGCGGGCGGGCTCCCAGGCAAGATACCTCCAGCCGCTCCCAATTTCGCGGGGAAATCCAGGGCCCCGGTGAGACCCGCTTTGCTGCCAACGTCGTGATCCCCGGCGGTGATCCCCGCCCCTCCCAGATGTCTCCCCTATTCAGTCAGCCCCCTTAGGCGCCCTGAAAATGCCCAGCTGTGAGATCGGGCAGCTAAGGCCCCGGGGACAGAGAGGCCTGCTATTTAGGGGCCTTGCTGCTGCCGCTGCTGTCCGCCCCGTGACCGACGAGGACGCTTCAGTTCACAGTGGGGCTCTAGACGGTTTGCACTGCGCGCTCCCGGGGCTACGATCCGGGCGGCTTTGAACTCACTCCTCATCCGACGCCCTCTCTGCTGGTCAGTCTTTGCCATTAGCGTTGTCTTCCTGAAACACGTCGAGCGCCTCACCCGTGGCTGTCAAGCCCAACCTTGAGTTCCCTGGGTCTGGTCCGGGCCGCCCAACCACGCGCGAAGTGCTGGGCTCCATCGTCCTGAACCCGCAGCACAGCTCCTCCCAGCGCCAGCTGCCCTGGCAGGACTTCCTGGCAGCACCGCTTCCACCTGTCTGCACTTCTCACACCTTCCCCACATCTGAATTCCCCCGCCCCTCACCTCCACAGTTTGGATGGCTTCTGAGTCCCGATCATGCAAACGACTCAAAGGACTTTTTCTTGGTCCTTTCTGGTGAACCCCTCCCGTGAATTCCGCAGAAACCGTTCCCTCCTAGTTTCTTTCTCCTTCGTAGGCCATTTCCCCTGGGGAACAGTCTCGCCTACCAAACCAGTTTCCATGGGGTCAAACCCCACGCCTAGCGTCTCGTGTGTGTCAGAGAAGATTCCGTAGACTGCCTTGCCTGGCTTTTCAGAAGTAGATCACCGAGCCTTTCTGATGAGGCGCCTCTGGGGGGACTAAAACCCCCACCTTTGCGTCAGCTGCCAAATGCCTTAACCGCTTGCAGCCCCCGGGACGCCCCTCCCATTCCAGATCTCTAGGACAAGTAGCCCCTGCTTGCTCCTCTGACCGGTGGCAAGTGGTCTGAGTAAGTCAAAAGCTGTTTAGTTTGTAAAGTTTTCATTAGTGTTGCCTTTTCTTATCTTTATAAACCAGATCTTTACTTGTCTGGGAAGTCAGAAGCATTACCGTAAACATCTACGGGTGTGCATCTGAGGACGATGGCATCAGTGAATGATGGACTGGGACATTGTGTGCAGCATATATTACTAATGATCGGGTGTACAGAAAAGAAAAAAGGGAAAGAATGAAAATCAGACCACTGTGAACATGCTGCTCCCTAACTCCAATTCACCCTAAATCAAGGACTCCCTGTGTGTAGTTAAATTCATTCCCAAGTTCTCGCCTCCAACTGTATCCCTTGGAAGGTTTCAGCACAACCCCATCATTACATACCAGCTATGGATCCACCCCTGGTGGCCTAGTGCCTACATGTTGGGCTGCCATCAGAAAGGTCAGCAGTTCAAAACCACCAGCCACTCATAAGTTGAAAGGCAGGTCCTTCTACTACTCCCTTTAACACTTACAGTCTTGGAAACTCCCAGGGGCAGTTCTACCCCCTATTCTAGGGTCACCATCAGTCAATATCAACCCAATGGCTGTGAATTTGGTTTGTGTGGGGGTTTTTTTAGTATGGACCCAAGACACTTCAATTTATCTCTCTCTTGATAACTGGCAGGTGGTGGTTTATTCTCTTCTCTGTGCTTTTGTATATATTTGAAATGCTTTATCATTGCAAACATTTCAAAAGTGAGCTCTATCTGTAGCCCACTTTTCTTCTATGGGCTCCAGGCACCTTCCTCCAGCTGTCTGTCTGATACCGCTACTTGAACTGGGGATATCCCAGCATCCAGACCACAAGGCCAGTATGGGACCAGGTAAGCTACAGTGGGTTCCAACTAGCCTCTCCTTTTGGTAGCATCGCAGGAGAAAGACGAGCCTTTCTACTCCCATGAGCGGTTACAATCTCGGCTGTTCTACCTGGCCTTCTTGTATTTCTAGTGGTGCAGTGAGCCATGCACTGAACTGCTAAGTGCGACCATCAGACATTGAAACCAGCCACTCTGCGGGTAGCAGATGAGGCGATGTGTCCCCAGAAGGAGTTCCAGTCGTAGACACCCAGAGGAACAGTTCTACCCTGCCCCATAGGCTCCTCTGAGTCAGAATCAACTCAATGGCAGTGAGTTTGGTTTGGAATTTCCCTACACCAGTGGTTCTCAACCTTCCTAATGCCGCGACCCTTTCATGCAGTTCCTCATGTTGGGGTGACCCCCAACCAGAAAATTATTTTCGTTGCTACTTCATCACTGTAATTTTGCTACTCTTATGAATCGTCATGTAAATATCTGATATGCAGGATGTATTAGGCGACCCCTGTGAAAGGGTCGTTCCACCCCCAAAGGGGTCTGGACCCACAGGTTGAGAACCGCTGCGCTACCCCATATGTATTAGGAAGTCTAGAGTTCATTCTCCTGAAAATCTCCCTCAATCTATCTATCCCCCTCTACTCCCTCACAGCTTTCCACCACCGCCCACATCTAACTCACTCCCTCTGTCCCTCTTGCTCCCCAGCAATTTCTCCGCATGCCTTCTCATTTCCAGTCCAAGCTCCACAGCACAGCGAACGAGGCCTGGATCTGGCCCCCTTCTCCCTCTCTACTGTCACATTGTGTATCTGCTTCTCCCACAGTGCCATTTTTAAGACAAGGAGCAGTAGGGGAAACCCAAGTTTGGGGGGGTGATCATTTTCTTGGACCGTCTTTTAGAAGAAAAGTTGCAAATGTTTATCTTTATTTTTACAGCATTAGGCATGGTGCCTCCTCCCCAAAATGTCAGAATGAATTCTGTTAACTTCAAGAACATCCTACAGTGGGAGCCGCCAGCTTTTGCCAAAGGGAACCTGACTTACACAGCTCAGTTCCAGAGGTGGGTCTGGTGGTGCTCAGGGCTGGTGGCCCCGTCACTGAGCTGGACCACGGGAGGTTCCCGACTGGTGCCACTCATGGGATCATAACGACACAGAGAGATGCATCTTGGGGTTTCTCCTTCTTTCTGGGAAGTCACTGCAGTTAGCTTGTCCTTTGTCTTTCTTTTTGTGGTGGCTCCGGTTTGACTGTTTATGCAGAGGCATGTCTACACAAAACAGTGCCTATAGTAAGCCCTGAATAGCAGCCCTGTCCAAGCATCTGGCACCCATCACTTAGTCAACTTCCCTGATGGTTAGTCGACTAACTACAAGATGGGCAGTTCAAACTTAGCCCCCCAGTCCCCATACCCCAAGCCATTCCTCGGGAGAAATATGGGGCTGCTTGCTCGGTCAAGATTTACGGTCTTGGAAACCTTCTGGGGCAGATCTACAATGTCCTGTAGGGTCATTCTGATCAGAATCAACTGACAGCAGTGGGTCTCCCTGCCATTGAGACGATGCCACCTCATAGCGACCCTATAGGACAGGGTAGAACTGCCCCAATGGGTTTCTGAGAATGTAACTCTTTACTGGAGTAGAAAGCCTCATTTTCCCTACCGAGTGGCTAGTGGAGGCCACCTCTGACTTTGGGCTGCAGTAGAGAGAAGGCGAATCCATCTCCACCCCAGCCTAAGGCCAATTGCCACAAGGTAGAGGTCAGACAAACCTCTACCCTCCAACCTCCCTTTAGCTATTCTGACAGCTGACAGCACCCATTGCTCCCGGGGCACTCTACTTTTCTGAGTTTGATGATCCGTTGTGATGGCCACACAGAACTCACAGGCAAAACTCATAGTGATGAGGTTTTATTTAGGGCAGTTCACAGGTGACCATAGGTCGGGATCGGTAAACAGTGAGGATACAGTCATTAGTCCACAGCAGCACCTGTCGTAGGCTAGCAACCAGGTTACGCTCTCTGGTCCTCTGACACTCAGCCATGTGGTCTGTTAGCTTCTGCCTCAGGGCTCTGGGATCCAGCTCCTCGATTGTTTCCACGTGTCTCCTGTGCTGTGCCCTAAGGTCACCGTGCCGTGGCCTCTGGTGCCACCGGTCTGAACCTTGGCCACGTTAGGCAGAGAGCGTTCTCGATCTTGCTCCATTGGTGGTGCTTCTTCCTGAATGGTCCAAGGATATTCTCTCTCTCTCTCTCTGTCTGTCTTTGAGATGGCTCTCTTATGCACAGGGCAATGACAACTAAAACTGACCAGTCCCCTCCTTCAGCGTCTCACACACCCTACTGGAATAATCCACCCCCACCCCCTGACTCCACCCCAGTCATTTGGTGGAAGTTACAGAGACATGGATAGAAGAGTCATATAAAGAAATTTCCCATCGCCACAAGTCATCACAGGCTTGCACCTTCCTTGTTGTAATAGTGGTGCTTGGTTTGGCGGCCCTTGTTAATGGGGAGGCAGTGCCCGGGTTCCCGGGGCTTCCTCGGCATAGAAATACAGACTGAGCAGGACTTGCTCTGAGGAAAACTAAGCCTGGCTGGGCATGTCTTTGAAGAAGAAACTTAATTCCTGACTAGGTGGCTCCGTTCGCGTGATTGAGGATTTAGATCGCGCAGACGCAGCACAGGCTCTTTTGTCTGTAGGGGTGGCCAGGAGGAAGGCCCTCACCCCAGAGGGCGTGCTGATGAATGGAGACCACTAGGGAGGTGGTGGTGATGGGGCTGTAAATATGGGGAATGGGTTATTTTGTTGATTGCAGATGACAATATTTTCAAATGCAATGAAAATGACCTCGTAAGAACAAAATGGTTGCCAAACAACCACTAAGCTGACTGGGGTTAGAACGCCCATGAGTTAGTTTATTTTTCTGCTTTTGTAGTTATAACAGCTTCCAAGATGTATGCAACAGTACTGCGCTGACAGAATGCCATTTCTCAAGCGTTTCCAAGTACGGTTACCACATCTTTCGAGTCAGGGCTGAATTTGCAGATGAATATTCAGACTGGATAAACATTACCTTTTGCCCTATGGATGACAGTAAGTCATTTTGTTTCCCATTTCAGTAAGATACCGTCTTTCCTCGGTTTTCTGTTTTTAATCCCCATTGGTTGGTCCATTGATGAAAATTCTGTGAGTGCCCACAAGGTGGCTGGCCTTATACAAGGAGCTTAAGGGAACATAATAAATAGTCTTAAGGAAGTTCATGGGGAAGGCAGAAAGGGGAAGGGAGATACCAACAATAAAAGTTCAGCCATCTTGAACTTTTGCAAACAGCTTTCCATCCACACAATGACCTGGCCCCTGGTTGCCCCTGGTTGCTGGCAGTGATCAAAGTGAGATCCTTCTTTGTTCTCTTCTCCCTCTTAGTAACTAGAAGTCTGGCCAGCACTCCTCCTCACCTCCCCAGTGGCCAGAGACACATACCTCCCCAGCTCCCATCCCACACCCACACCCAGCCAGGCTCTGTCTGAGGCCCAAGCCATGCACTTGTGGCCTGAGCACTGTATACGTTGTGCTGTGTCTGGGAGCATGTAAACTTCCCCTCATCAGACCACAACTCTGGCCACCCCTGGATGAGTGGGAACTTCATACCTAACCAGTCACCCTGTCCCCAGCCACCTTCTGGGCCTGAAAGAATTCCTTCTAAGAACAAACCCTCTTCTGGTGCCAAAACTGGTGGGAGCTGACCTTGAAAGCCTTTTTCTGAGGAGGTAGCACTTGAACAAAGACCTAAATGAGGCGAAGGGGCCAGCTACGTGAATATTTGGAAGAATCATTTGGGACAAGGACAGCTTTAGACTTTTCTAGGGGAAAAAATGTATTTGGTTAATTACATATGGTAATCATATGTAATAAAGTACTACCTGAAACTTCTAACTAGCAAGAAGAACACAGAGAAATTTTTTAAAATTCAGAGAAATTTTAAAAAATTCAATCCAGTAGGAAGCAGCAGAGAAAAGGAGAAGTCCTATTCTACCCTGCAAAAAAAAGGCAGTTTTTAACAGAAAATAAGACAGTGTGGTTAAAATAGTTCCAAACATATAAAAAAATCACAATAAATGTAAATAAATTAACCCCAATTAATAAATATAAAGATTAACAGATTATTTTAAAGAAATAAAATCTACGTATTCTTAGTGACATACATCATAGAGCTACATCATAGAGGAGCAGATTAATTTTTCTGCATCGTTTTGAAAAATGTTAGAGGAAATTTTTGATACTATGATTTTTGATTGCCATTTCTCGTTTTCTCGTGCCTAGCTGCCATTGGACCACCTGGGATGCAAGTAAAAGTCCTTGCTGAGTCGTTACATATGAGCTTCTTTGCTCCAGAAGTTGTGGGTGAACATGAAACTTGGACCATGAAAAGTCTGTACAGTTCATGGGTGTATAATGTACAATATTGGAAAAATGGCACTCACAAAAAGGTAAGCTCACTCACCCATGCTCTTTGCTGAGTGTTTGGTCTTCGGCTATGATGATGGGAAAAAGGAGGCTAGGAGACCATTCCAGGCAGTAACTTATAATTGGCAGCCAGACAGCAACTTGTAATTGGAAGAACTCTGGTCGCATAGTGGTTACACATTGGGCTGCCAACCACGAGGTTGGCAATTTGAAACTACCAGCCACTCCCAGGGAGAGAATCACTATGAGATGGCATAGACGCGATAGCAGTGCGTTTGGTTGTGTGTGTGTGTGTGTGTGTGTGTGTCAGAGTGTCTACATTCTGGTAGACTACTAATAACTTCTGAAAGCCAGAATCTCCCCAGTCTGAGAGATGATCGGGATTTCTGGCTCAGGCTTCCCCCAAGGAAAATGCAGACACAACTCCCAGGATGCTAGTACACAGTGAAAGTGGCACTTTGTCCCCCTAAAGGAAAGTTGCAAGAGAAGGTAGAACGGAGTCAGCAGTTGGCAGCAAGAGCCTAAAATCAGGTGAGTGACTGCTATTTCCAGGCACCCACCCTGCTGCCCCACGACCACCGCAGGTCGGTCAAGTCTGCTCAGGGCAGCCCCAGTTCTGGGCCCTGGTTGAGCAGGGTCACACATTACCTTTTAGGCCCTCTCCCACTGCTCTTCTCTCCAGTAGACAGAAGGAGGGGAGGAAAAAGAACTTGAGGACGGATTCTTGTGTTTCTTCTTTTTTTTACTAAATCTTTTCTTAATTGCCATAAAATTCACATATCACACAATTCAATAGCTCAGTCATATTCAGAAGAGTTGTACGATTATCACCGCAAGCAATTTTAGAGCATTTCTTTCTTCCTCATACTCGTATCCCCCATTTCCCTCCACCTTCCCATGCCATATCCTTAGGCAATTATTAACCCGGTTCCTGGCGTTATAGATTTACCTATCCTGGATTTCATATACAGAGAAAACATACAAAACAAAATCAAGAAACATCAAACAAGCAAAACACTAACAACAACAACAAACTGAAGTCGAAAAGCCTCAGTTGAAAAGAAAGCATTCTTCCCTGCTCTCTTCCTCTCTAGCCATTTACAAGTCAGCCTTTGAGTTTAGTCTTCGAGACAACAGCACTGCACATTTTTGGACATACTGGATTTCTAGAAATGAAAGCCTGAGTTTGGTTGTGAGGTGTTTTTTGTTTTGTTTTGTTTAGTTATTAGAAGTAATAACAATCTTTGTGTAATCCAGTAGATCGGTAGAATCCAAATCTGGCCCTCAACTCAGATTCTCCTATGATAAAGAAATAAAGACATGGTAGCCCCACCCACAGAAGAAAAGGCACTGCCCAGGGTAGAAGTACTCCAGGGTCACTTTCTGTTGATGTGTCTATCCATTTCTGTAACATAGTTTACATGGCAAATAATCCAAAGAGGGATGCAGTCTCAGAATTGGAGGAAGGTTCATGAGCAGCAAGAAGCATGCAGATGACGTACTTTGCTTGCGGAATGCACAAAGGGACTTGAAGCACTGGGTGGTGAAGATCAAAGACTACAGTGTAGATTACACCTCAACATTGAACAATCCTCCTTACAACTGAACAGTAAGCAATAGCATGGTAAATGGAGAAAGATTGTAGTTGCCAGGGTGTCATTTTTTTTCTTGTATCTACAGTCAATGCCTATAAAGCAATAGTTAAGAAGTTAAGCATCCTACTGCATTGGACAAAACCCCTACCAAAGACCTCTAAAAATGCTAAAGAGCAATGCTGTCACTTTGAGGGCTAAGGTGCATGGTATTCTCAGTCACCTCCTAAGTATGTAAATGCTGGGCTATGAATAAGGAAGACTGGAGAAGTGATGCCTTTAGACTACGGTGTTGGTGAGAATATGGAATATACCGTGAACTTCCAGAAGAATGAACAACTCTATCTTGGAAGTACGTCCAGGAGAGACTAGTCTCTGGAGAAGGCGTCACGCTTAGAAGAGTAGGCAGTCACAGAAAAGAGGAAGACAGGAATGCGATGGACTGACACAGTGGCTGCAAGAATGGGTGCGAGCATGGCAGTGATGGCGGGGACGGCACAGGACCAGATAGGGTTTATGCGGCAGTATGTAGGTCAGCGTGCATCAGAAACAATTCAACAGCACCTGACACCAACAACTTCTATAAAGCAATGGTAAACAATGGCAAGTGGTACACTGTTAGGAGTCCTTGGGTCACTCAAGGAGCCCTGGTGGATTAGAGAGCTGCTCGTTGGGCTGCTAACCTCAAGGTCAGCGGTTTAAAACCAGCTGCCACTCCATGGGAGAAAGACGAGTCTTTCGTCCTGTAAAGATGTACAGTCTCGGAACCCCTGAGGGGAAGTTCTACTCTGTCCGACAGGGTCGCTATGAGTCAGAATCAATTTGATGGCTGTGAGTTGAGTGTGACCCAAAGGAGCCCTAGCACCATAGTAGGTTATGAATTGGGCTGCTAACCACAAGGCTGGCAGTTCAAAGCCACCAGCCACTCTGTGGGGGAAAAGATGAAACTTTTCGGCGTGATAAAGATTGATAGTCTCAGAAACCCTCAGGGGCAGTTCTACTCTGTCCTGAAGAGTCGCTACGAGTCAGAATCCACTCGATGACAGTGGATTTTTTTCAGGGTGGTCCAAGTAGCATTTGACTGCTAAGCAAAAGTTCAGTGGCTCACCCCGCACCTTTGAAGACAGACGTGGTGATCAGCTTCTGAAAGACTACAGTCTGGCTGGAGAGGCCTCGGGCCAGTTCTCTCTGTCCTCATTGGGGGCCCATGGGTCAGAATTGGCTGGATGGCATCTGGGTTTGTTTCTTCCCCCTTTGGTGAGGGATTGTTTTGTTTTTGTATAGTCTCTCCATTCCCATTATTTTGAGAGGAAAGTTTTGGTTTTCCTAAGTTAGGAACTTGTAATAAAATATTATATATATTTAAATTGAACTCCCATGAGCCAGTTATACCAGCCTGTAGAGGCAGGTGGGTTGGTGTACCACCCGATGGAGCAGCGATTCATGGGAAACCCTGGTCAGCCAGGATGGGAGTTGCCCTAGTGACCGTGAAAGAAAAGCATATTGGGTCTCATTGTGTATGACTTTTTGTTTTAGGGTTTTTGTTTGATGCAAAATGGGGCTGTAGAATGGTTTGCATGTTCTGTCTGTCAGAGAATTCAGCAGAGGAGATGGCTTGTCACACACAACACAGTTATCCTTGACAGCAGGACCTCCTTGGGGTGTGCTGCAGAGAATGGGCGGGGCTGCAGCCTTCTGCTCCTTCCTGTTTGAGCCTGAAGGAAGGTCGGTGTGAGGCAAGATGATGGGGTCCCGTCGCTGCTGAGCCGCGTTCCTATTTGCGCTTCTTGTCCTAGTTTCAGCTCAGTACTCCGTATGATTTCGAGGTCCTCCGCAATCTGGAGCCACAGACAACTTACTGCCTTCACGTCCGGGGGTTTCTTCTTGAACAGAACAAAAGTGGGGAATGGAGTCAGCCTATCTGTGAGACAACAACCAGCGATGGTAAGTGTCAACGGCATAGTTTGTATCGCAGTTGTTTCTGAGCATCTTCATTAGTGTTGCAGACGTTTTATAGGTTGGGCGGCTCTTTAGACAGCATCGTGTCCTACTCAAACCTCCATTTGGGAACTCGGATTCTTGTTAGTTACCATTGAGTTGACTATGACTCGTGGGGCCTGCCATAAAACAAAACAAAGCGTCCCATTCTACCGCGTTGTGTTAGTCCGGGTTGATTAGAGAAACAAATCCAGTGACACTCATGTACATGTGTGAGAAAGAGCTTTGTATTCACTGTTTCACTCACTCACTGCTTCACACACTCACTGCCTCACTTACTCACTGTCTCACTCTCACTCACACTCACTGACTCACTCACTCACTGTCACACTCACTCACTGACTCACTCACTCACTCTCACTCACTGATGCACTCTCTCATTTCTCACTCTCACTATCTCACTCACTCACTGACTCACTCTCTCACTTTTTCACTGCCTCACTCTCTCACTGTCTCACTCTCTCACTGTCTCACTCTCTCACTG